AAATATTTTAGGAAATATAATTCAGAATAAATACAAATCTTACTTTTCAGGAGATTTTTTAAATAATAAAAAAAATTCTGCAAGTATGATATGCTCTTATAGTTTAAAAAGATTTTTGAGTCAGAGAATAAGATATGTAAAAGTTTTAGTTTACGTACACCTTTAAATAATTGTGAAAAAACTAATAATAACACAAGTAACATAACGTATAGCGTTCAAATTTTTAATGAATTGTAATCTCTATTACTTATCTAATAAGAATAATCGATTATATAGTTGTTTCGAAGAAATATTTCCAAACTTGTTATGAGTTTATAAAATCTTCTTGATATTTTGAAGGATCTCAGACTCTTCTAGATTAAAAAAAATGTTTTTAATGTAGATGGAAACTAATGAGACTTTTTTCTAAGTGACTACTAAGTTACAGAAATAATACTTATTTTTGAATCTCACTAGTTTGCAGATCCAAAAGTGATATTACGAAGAGCATGGTGGAAACATTTGATTAATACAATAAAATTTAAATCATTCAGACCTGTCTATCAGGTACCATCATAGCCACACTACGAAACATTATTTTCAAATTCTCTGGTAACTCCTGTCTGCCTGCGTATCCTGGATTCATGGTTATGAAAATTCCAAACTCATAGTCGATTAAGTATCTTTCACCATCACTAAAATGAGTACTTTTCGTGTATCATCGTACTACTTATATTTAAAACAAATTCATGTATAATTAACTGCACACGTACCTAAATAAAAAAGAAACCTTCCTTTCTTTTCGGGCATTTAAGACGATCGCTATTTGCTGTGCTGCTACTGACAATACAGGCAATTCAATTCGATTAAATTCATCGAAACAACCCCATGTTCCAGACTGTGCCAAGCCCTACTCAAGAGTTAAGGACTTTAAATTTTTGTCACCAAATGGTCCATCATTTTGTATGGTTTATTTTTTTTTTAATACCTTAAAAATTCTTCCAAGACCTCGAAAATCCATTTGATCAGAGCAGTTAAATACGACAACATATTTTCCTAAAGCTTTTCCCATATCTTTAGTAGTTTCTGTTTTTCCTGTACCTGCTGGGCCAGCTGGTGCACCTCCAAAGTTCATTCCTGTCACAACATTTTAAACTTACTGTTGTCATATTTAACAAGATAATCACCACTATATTCTTACCAATGGCTTGAGCTAATGTGATGTAACATCTGTCTGTCAAAGGAGTTACAACAAGTCGATCATTACATCCTAAAAACTCGTTCTGGTATATAAAAAGAACGTCTGTAATCCTTATGGGTATATTTTCCATTTCTTCATCAAAGTAAAATCGAGCCTGTTTTAACCATTCAAAATCAGTTACATTTTTAACCCGCAGACGACACAGCTCGTTAAAAATATCCCTGCAAAACATGGATGTTTATTAATTATATTTATAGCAAATAAATAATATAAACCATTCTTGGTAAATAAGTACTATGTGTTATTTTGAAGTTTAACCATTGACTAACACCGCTCATGAAAAAAGTCTCGAAATAGATGCACCATTAATATTTAAACTTATGGAGTAAGGGTGATGATAAAATACGAAGGGGTAGATCAAAGATAACCTTAGTAATTAACAAATTATTTGGTTAATCAACGCCTACTTTTTCCAGTTATGAAAGACGATTTTAGTTATATTATCTTGGGTTATTAAGAAAACGGTAGATATTTTTAAGTGACAACGGTAATCCTAACTAATTAAGTGAGTAAATTGTATTTACATTTTGGTGTCTAAGGATTGTGTACGTTAGAAATTTTGAGCAGAGCATAATATGCATCATAAAAAAGCAGTAGTCGTCTGATGTTTGTCCTAGGAATTGCAACTACATCAAAATCTTAGGCTTTACCAAAAAAACTTTACTGAGGGTATTGTTAAATTTATTTTTGTAACTGCCCACAAAATTCAGCTTAATACTACTTAATTCTTTTTAACAAGTGCTCTTTTTTTTGCGTCATACGTAACACCTTTCAGCTGGAGTGATTTCTTAACCTAGAGCTGGTTACGAATAAGAAATGACGTTTTATGTATACATATTTTACATTATTTTTTTGCAAAAAGGTTGTATAACGGTTCTGCACTGCTATGATACTGTTAATACGATTACTATGCATTCTTATTCTATCGTCATGGGCATATTAAAAGGTTACCTTAGATTTATTTAGTACGTTTACGACAATAAGGACATTTTATTTAATATAGCCTTTGAACTATTAGACCACGGTAAAAAATAGTATGAGTATGGACTAAAAATACCCTGAGCTACAAAAACTGCAGCCTAAACTACTGTGCTACGGTGTTTATGTAAGGGAAGACTCAAGTGTAGTGCAAAATAATATAATTGTGATAATATGCATGAGTAGTAAAAGTATGACTTTACAAATGGAATAGGTAATTAAGAGTTCAGATAGATACGTACTAAAAGTTATTTTAAATTTTAAAATTTTCTATTCTAATTGTTGTAGTAAGAATGGTTCAACATTTTTTTTATTTTAAAAAGTAACTACTACGATAAAATAATTTGAAAAACACAAATTTTAATGCTAGAAAATATACTATAATATTTCTGTATCATCCTCTCCTTATCAGCAAAGAAACCACCCTATTCGTGCGGAAATAGCAAGAGGTACAATTGTTATTTAATCTCTGCTGTATTATATTTTCTTATTTCAAGCGCAGCTGAAGTCACACTGTAGTGATTATACTTAAAATGACATGTCATTACGGGGAGAAGGAAAATTACACTATTTTCAGTATGAAATATTATCTATCAAGAAAATGAATATTTACAAAAGATAGTTCCCTTTACACCTAACTTATCTTCAAGATCTGTTTAGACAAAATTTCAAGTGGACGTTGTTAACATACCGGTAAAAAATTTCAAGCTGATAGGTTTAATTAGTCACAATTTTTTTTTTCAGCTCCGTCAGAATTCTGGAAATCAAGGAATATCATAGCACCTATAGGGCTTGATATATGCCATTGAGAAATAGGGGGAAAAAGATATACAGTATAATCAGTGAAATTTTTTTAACCCAATGTACATGGAGACCCTACCTCTCCTTATTTTGCAAAAGTCTTTAACTTTTGTAATAAATATCTGAAGCTGAATTTGACGAACATAGTTTTAAGACGTTCCGTTTTTCATTTCTCCAAATTAATTTAGGAAAATAAACTAATTTTACGAATCAGTTCTAATATTAGAAAAAACAGTTCATGAAAACAATTCAAAATCTATTTAAAATCTGATTCTTTGAGACACTTCATTTGTGAAGAAAGTAACAAAATTTCTCCAAAAGCTTTCAATTAAAAGTACGAGTACAAAAAATTTTTTTTTTGTATCCAGTGACTGCTCACTTCTTTTTTGCTTAGTCATATGAGTTATCTTACAGATAACAAGTAGTAAAGGTGACGAAGTTGTATCAATCACTAGTGTTGTCGGTAATTTCAATACTTCTGTTGTACCCTGATTTTAAATTGACGAATAGTACTATTAGCAGAGTTAACACAGTTGTGATACTCCAATACAAAATAGTGTCTATAAATGGGACCCATTATACATATATGTATATCATATGCTCAAGAACATGGCTACCTCACACGCCTATTGAATGATTACTGTAACATTTTGGACTGTTTACAATATACTGTAAAACAATGGGTTCTTATCGTGTTTCAATAGAATAAATGTAGTTACGTGTTTTACGAATAATTCAGATGCGTTTTGTTAATTATATATCCTTATTGAATGAAGTGAAATGAGCAAAGTAAAAAAAGGTTTCTCTTGTGCCTTTCTTCATTGTAAAAATGTATTCAATAATGTAAAAACAGAAGTTTTTCGGTTTCCAAAGAATAATAACAGATAAGTATGTTTATACTAATCATTTCAAAAAGGAGTTTAATCACCATGAATGTTACAAGGCAAGTTTTCATTATGGATCAAATTTTGTGGACGTAATGATATAAGTAATAATACTTCTAACGACCTGTACATCAACATAGAATTTTTTCTACCACTTGTACTATACTTTTGTAATTTTTGAAAATTGAATATCATGTTATCAAATGCATGCATTTCTGCACACTATTATCCCATTCCATTTTATTAACGCTCTAATTCTTACATCTAATTTATTCTCAAATTTTTGAGTGAACATTTTTTATTAAAAAATACTTTTGCAACGACCTTGTTGCTGTTCTTCAAATCATAACTATAAATAACACATTTATTAACTGTGTTTCTTGGCAGATAAGTACTAAATTGATAAAGCCTGAAATTATCATTTTTAAACGTTCTCGGGCTATACTCTCAGTAACATGATGCCTGGAGGACACAGTTAAGCACAGAGTATCGGAAGATGTTGATTTCTCAAAAAATCGTGTTTTCACGATTTTCATACCTTAATAACTTTTTTCATTATTTTTTTACCTAAAAATTACCAGAGATATGTTTCAAACACAGAAGATCAACGTCTTATTGGTCCGTTCAAGTCTATTTCTCTTTAACTTTGACTCTCACGATGATGAAGTTATATAAATTTTTCAATTTTTTCACTCTAAATATAATGTTTTATTCAAAGCTTCTTGCTTATTCTTATTGTACTATAATGTACGTAAAGAACTTATAAAGTAACATTATTAAAGATGAGATCAAGATTTACAATTTTTATTTTTTCATTCCCTAGTTAATCATAGACCACAGTTATCGAAGGTTTCGTATAATGTATTTATTGACATCTTAGTCAATTATTGGAGGTTACTGTTGACAGTAAATAAAGTAATAAAGTCATGCGTAAAATGTATATTTAGTTTATGAATGAATACAATTTAGCTGTTTAATCAGTAACTTTTACAATTGTGTTATGCAAGAGTCATTATCGTTTAAAAATATTTGCATTCTACGGTGGCAGAATCGATTGGTCAAAAAATTTATATGTTCTAGTATGTTTCAAAAGTTTTGCATTATCAAATCTTTTCGACAGTTACTTTTTTTCTTGCCAAAACTTCTTTTCCTTAAACATTAGAAAGTCTGAAATGTCATTAACTATTATGTATTAATGCAGAATAAACAAATACCGTCCCGATACAAGGAAGCTTCGTCAAATTATTTATGATCACTTGCATAATATTTAATTTATTAATTACACATTTTATTTTAGGATTTAAAATTAAGGTTTTCACTTTTTAGGTGCATGAAATTCAGGGTAAGTATGATAGGACGTTAAACTATTCAAGATATGAAGAGTTTCATGCATCATTTACAATTTGCCGCCAAGTAAGTATCCTACCTTAGCAATGTGTTACGTACGATTTGCTGGGCACATCATACTGAGTCACCCTAGTAACTACAAGCCTATGCTAGTAAAGGACACCAATGGGGGAAACGAGCTTATATAAGGCCCTGCAAGACTCGAATATAGGGGCACTCGAGCGTCTTTTAGGCAAAAGTACGAACGATAAGTAGAAAAACTCACACGAAACACACACACGCCTCTGCTTTTAAGAAGCTAATAAATAATTGACCAAAGAGTGGAGTTCTTTTCGTGACGCACCTCTTCACCAGCTTCTTTATCCTACGTAACAGTTTTGGTGCTAAGTGTGGGGTACGGTAAGAGTCGGAATTTTTTTTTCTCGCTTATTTTACTCGTTTCAAAAAAAATTTCGCCGAGAAGCACACATAGTGCAGTGCCACGAAAATCAAACTTGAGTGCTGGAACGGACCCAAACAGGACAGAGGTAAACGCGTAGCTGTTCATACGAGCGATTCTCGACATCAACGATCAGGAAGTCTACAACCAGAAAGTTAAAGCAACTTCGGGAAAGACCAGCAAGAAGGTAGCAGTTTATTGCAGTCACATTCGTATTTCTGACGCTCAACGCCAAAAAGGAGAGTAGTAACCAGGGAAGGATGATATTCAGCACAATTATTCTGGCCATGGAGGTACTGTTGACTTGGTAAGTGAGTTGTTTAAATTCTTATATCGTTTTTATTTTCCCTGCCATCGGGACAAAATATGTAAAACTTTGCATAACAAACATAAAACTAAGGGATCTTATTAGTGGGCTTGCATAGATATAGGAAATATTTGAAAATGATTATATAATAATAATAACCCGCTCCTACATAGATCACTATTTTCATTACTATTATTTTTATTAACTAAAATAGACTATAGATATTCCCAGAAGAATATTTCGTCATATTTATCACTAAACAAGGAGAAAGCACAAAATTAAAAGAAACCGAGTAAAAGACACACGCTGCTCCTTTGCTTTCTTGTCTCGCCTCTTACTATTCTTTTCACGCGATTATTATTGAGCCACTCTAACGTCTTTAAACGTTGCCCCGTAATTAGAAAA